TGTTTAAGCTTAATATATCCAAAAAACTTACAAATTTGATTATCAATTTATTTATAGATCGATATATACATATTAAAATTGATGATGATCTAAAATATACTCGAAAGGTTTTTAAAGGCCTTCCACAAGGCTCTGTTTTAAGTCCTTTATTATACAATATTTATACGTCAGATTTGGACCAGTCTATTTCAAAGTGTAGAATTTTGCAATATGCTGATGATATCTTAGTTTATGTTAACGATAAATGTATAGAATCTTGTGCTAATGCGATAGAACAAGATCTCCTCTCTATGGCCTCTTGGTTAGATGATCATGTGCTAGAACTTTCCCCAAATAAAAGTAATACAGTAATTTTTTTCTCGCAAAAGAGTTTTACCTGAAATCCAAGTTCGCCTTTTTGATTATCCGCTCGTAAATATTCAACAAGTTAAATTCCTTGGTGTAATTCTTGATAATAAATTATCCGGCATGCCTCATATAATTTATACCCAAAAAAAATGCGAAAAAAAATATAAACATTCTTAGAGCTTTGTGCGGGGTATGGTGGGGCGCTCATCCATATTATTTAAAATTAATTTATAATGCAATTATAAGAAGCCGATTAGATTATGCCTCATTTCTTCTTGAACCAACTAGTAAAAAAAGGATTAAAAATATTAGACATCATTCAACACAAGTCTTTAAGATTAATTATAGGCGCTATGAATTCGTCGCCTATCAATGCCTTGCAGATTGAATGCGGTGATCCTCCACTTTTTATTAGACGACAATATTTATCGGATTCCTTTTTTTATCGGGTTCTTCAATTTTCAAACCATCCATTACTACCTAAAATTCGTTTGCTTTCTCATTTCAATTAATTCAGGAAAATACTGGCGTAATAAAGAAACTCCTAACCTAGTTAAAAGCTATGAACATTATAATTCCTTACTAGATCCTATTTATAGGTCGGCGACTCTGCCTCTTTTCTCCAATTCGTTTGAAGTTGCACTTTTCAAACCCAATGTTATATTAGATATAGGATTAAATAAATTTTCTATTGAATCAAATAAGATTTGTATTTACGTTGGACAAGAATTTCCCAGATTGTCATTATATTTTTACAGATGCTTCTAAGACTAACTCAAAAGGTTGTACTGGATATGCAATATACCATCAAAATTGGAGAATAGTTCAAAAAATGAAAAGTCCTCCCGAATCTTCAGTTTTTACTGGAGAAATGTTAGCCATTTTACAATCAATAAAATATTGCTATCTTTTTAAATTAAAATCAAGCGTGATATTTTCAGATCCTCTTAGTTCTTTACAAGCATTGTTATGTAATCCTTTCTATGACATTTCCCGCAATCCTTTGATATTTGAAATTAAGAAACTTCTATTCTTATACCAATTTCAAAACATCAACATTTCTCTCGTTTGGATTCCGAGTCATATTGGTATATCTGGTAATGAATATGCTGACAAACTTGCTAAACAAGCTATAGTCTGTGGGGATACTTTCTTATTTAAAAATTATTGCTATGACCTTATAAGAACTACGAAATTAGTATATAGAGATAGATGGTCAAAACATTGGAACAAAACCAAAACGACAAAAGGCTGTCACTATGCCAAAATTCAACCCATCATTCCTTCTAAGCCTTGGTTTTATAAATTATCCTTAAATAAGAAACATACATCAATGTTATGTAGAATGCGCTTGGGTCACTGCTGTAATTCGGTTCACCTTGCTAGGCTTCATATTAAAAATTCTTCAATATGTGAATGTGGTTTGAATATTGGTGACCTCAACCATATTTTCTTCTCGTGTCCGTTATATGATCATACTTCATTATTTAACACTTTGGTAAATCTTAAAATTCCTCTTCCTACAGAAATTTGTTCTCTTTTAATTTTTTTCTAAAAAAAGTAAAAATGTTTTCAATTGTCTTATGGAATTTTTAGATTTAAATAATATTAGATTATAAAATTTTATTCATTATTTAGCTATCAATCGTCTTTATTTAGTAATACTGATTATTTTTAATGTGGTATTGAGTTTAGTATTATTTTAATTCAACCTAATATCCATCATTTATTTAATATACTTCAGTACAAGTCATTTCATGATTCATTATTATAGTATTCTATGGTTCTTAACATTATGATTTTGGTTTTTAATCAGAATCGTAGTTTCTCTTTAGATTGTCAGTCATTTCGTTTCAAGTTACAAGTATTTTTATTGACTGGAGGTTGGCAGTAATTGTTAGGTTGCCATATAAAAAAAAAAAAAGATGCTGCCTCCTTTGGTTCTCAAGAGTTCACCATTTGGAAGAAGTAGTTTATGGATTAATAAATGTACCTAGCATGTAGAATAAAATACATATAATATTCTAAGTATAACTACATTATAGTCAGAGAGAATGTATAATTAATAATTTAGATATCTACTCATTCCTCAATGAGGTATTTAAAGCTAATACATAACTTGCAATAAATACCAAACTACTTAGTATAAAAGTATTTTATATAGTATTTAGAAAGAGGTATATCGAAAACAGTTTAACTAGAACCATCCTTTTGTACCTAGAAGTAAGTCTAGGTAGGTACCACATTCTTACCTATTCCCACTGCCAAATAGCAGTGCATGCACTGCCTTGTTCTGATCTAAAGGGTATAGAGAGCTCTATAATTATAGGCTGTGAATCTTTACATTTTAGTCCCAAGAGGAGATAATGCACCTATAGCCTTCTTTGTTTGAATTTGGCTGCGGATGTCCACATACCCCATTAGCACTTACCATTTTTTAAATAAGATTTCATTACAAAGTATTATAAAAAACCGAAAAATTCTTTACGTTACTAGAATTGATACATATTTGTTATCCACCATTTTCATTTTCTCCTAACCTTTTTTTTTACATTTAATATATTCATTATGATTTACAGTTATAGTACACTAATGCGCATAACAGGAGGCTTAGCAATTTCGACGTTCTTCTCCACAAACTAATAAGAATACTAATGTATTCATCTCCTTCAAACACTATGAGGAACCAAACGGGTGTGGAGACATTACCCATTTCGTGGTGTTTTCTCGCCACGACGATGCACACGATCTACATCCACCCACACAAACGTCACGATGTTGCACACCCCAGACGGGGTGGATAGTCAGAATTCACTTTTTAATTTTTGTTCCACCTTTTACCCCAAGTACAGTACAAATTTAAAAACAAAAATCTTAAATCACATATTGCATTTAAACCAAAGTAAACTACCTCGTTTTCCATAACAATACTAATTAATGAATTCTGCAATATGCCCGGGAAATCAGACACTAATTTCATTATTGAGTAGACGTAATTGAATATCCGTGATAAATTCGTCTTTTAGTGTACTATAGCTTTATATTTTTTTGTTACAACACATGTGTTAGTAAAAAAACGGGTGTTATTTTGCAAGCAATCCAAAAACTTTACTAAATTTGGATGTTTGTCTTTAACTTAATTTGAAATAGTTTAACAAACAGCCATCATGTTTCTCAACTGTACACAGGCAAGGGAGAAAATCGGAAGAAAAATAATATACGAATTCCTATCATCCACCCCGTCTAGGGTGGATAAACGAACACGCGTTTCCGAGTATCCACCCTAGTGTGGGTAGACGAAATAATCAAAGTGATCTTAACAAAGAGTACAATAGAGAATTATCTGTGATATGATAAGAGTAGTTAATGTTGAAAACATTGCAGTCAAAATCAAGTCAGATATTGTTGAACATTTTAGACATTTTGGCATGTGAACCATTTAAGATATCACCATTTGTAATGAATACCCAATTTTTCTTTTTAATATAACAGAACAAATTTACCTTCGGAGACACAAAATGGTGTATTGTTAATAAATAAGAAAACAGTTGTATGGGTGTTTATCTAATTTTATTTGAGTTCATAAACGCCAATAACCTAATAATAAAATGAGCTGATAATACAATTTAAAAAAGACCTATCCTATTTTTTTGAATATTGCTTGGTAACAAATTACATACTGTTCTATTCAATGAAAAGGCGTAAATACACAAAAATATAAAACAAAATCCCAATTATGCTCATACAGTTGCATTTGTTACAGCAGGAGTGGAATACCGCAACATGAACTTACAGCAAATAACTTAAAAACTTAAATAAAGCTAATTAATCATCATCTACTAAAGCAATATGTATCAGCGCTGTTAATTTAGAGGAAACATTAGATACTTATAAAAGTCGCAGTATAAATATAGTTGAAGGAGTCCACAAAATGTCTGATACATGAGGCAAATTGTCATAAGAAATTCCATGTTCAATGAAAAGTACACAAGAAAAAAGTATAATTTAAAACTAGAGCTATTATTTCGACAAATTTAAAAGTAACAAAAAATTAAATCAATCAAAAATTATGGCGAACTATAACATTCAAATCATGAGGACAATGTAATCTTAGCAGGCACTCTGTGTGAATTTTATTGTTTGTGTTAATTGCTAATCTCTGTTCCTTCCTAATTTTCTTTAGAAAATATACAAAAACATAAGTAAACACTTGGTTTCACATCACATTATAATTAAATATTTTTTCGGCAGACCCGTTTTATGAGAAGCATGGACCATTGCACCATTGCCTCCCCTACAGCCCTGATCCTCAGTCTATGAACACAATTATCCAGCAAAACCTTATCTAAAGCATTATAAGCTAATTTATGTTTATGTGGCATGAAAATTGTGGAACTTAGCTGCACCAATATTGTCTCATTAAATAACTCGTGTTCTTTTTGTAAATGAATTTAGTAAATCCATAATACTGTGTCACACATATATCGACTTAAACACTTCACAATATTGATAACAAATAAATTCCAGCAGCAATCACAATGTCTTCATTCATTGGGACACTCTACATTCCCGCATATAATATTCACATATACCAAAATATGTTTGTCTTGATATATTTGCAGTGTCACTCCGAACAACTGGCTCTTTTGTTATTAGGACAGATCTGGAAAACAAAATAATTATATTAAATAAGATAGATAATGTAAAAGAATATACCCAAGAAATTATCCTTTTGTGTATTATAGCACCAAACACTTGTCATTTTACAATTTTATTTTTAAATATTATTAGAGTGACAGAAAGTGATGTCAGAAAGAGAATGGTAAGAACCCGCATATGTAAAGAATGACTCTTTGGCAGATAAGAGCTTCCACCTAGTAAATCTATGATACAATTATATGTATGGTTATGGTTATGTAAGTGTAGACAGTAAACATACGATTAGCCAGCTTAACTTTCGTTTAGTTTTGAGCATAGGCCAATGTAATCTTTTTTTCATGCTAAACCTAAGCCAAACTTAAGTTTTACTATACTAACGCATGGGCTAAAATTATGAAAGCAAAATCTGTACATGATTTGAATTGTAACTTGTATTTTATAAACAATACTAAATAACAATGGATTTATGTATGGCTAAAACTAAATTTAACCAGTTGCCAGTATGTCAAGCCGCAAACATTTATATCTAATATATAAAAATTATAATTTGTTTGTTGGTAATTTATGCACTGCCATACCGTTCATCAGATTGCGGGCAAAACTTTATCAATATATTGCTTGCACTTCCGTGATGATTATAGGCATAGTTGGACCTGGTAAGTGCCTCTATTGTAGAATCAAGATATCAGCCGTGCGAAAGCAGGGCAGATCGCTAGTATTATATAAATTATTTGGCTAAAGATAAATTGATTATTGATTTTTGCAAACGAATATTATGACGAACACTAAGCTTACACCAAACCTTAACATCATTTAGCCAGCTTATTTTAAGTTTATTATTCATTTTAACATTTGAAGTAACATAAACACACAAGTACAAATAAAGAATAATTCAAAAGCTCTTATAAATAACAACATGCCTACATGAAACACATACATGAACATTGTGCCCTTGAATATTTATTTAATTTTGAGACATTCTTCTGGGATGAGGGTCTAGAATCTAGGTTGTGAGCACTAGATGGTTATTTTAACAGTTGATATGTGACCGATATGTTGAGTAAGAGATTAATAAAAATATTACATTAACTTTTTTTTCTACCTTCTAAATAGTATTCGTTAAAAAGCACTGAATTAGGTTATTATATATTACTTACAGCTGGGGACTAGGTCCTGATGCATATGGTGTTCGGCATCCATACCCAGTGGCATGCAGGTTGCAGGTGGAGGTCGGCGTTGCACCTGAACAGTTACAATTTAAACATTAAGTAATTCCTGACTTTGTACAAGTAAATCATCAGAGAATTAGTGAGGAGCAATTATTGCTTTACCATATCCACTGAGATAATATTCAATACTACAAAGTGGGCATTAGAAAATCATCATTTAAAGTTGAAGAATTACCCATACCGATTATTGTAAATATTGAACTATGAAAACATTTTTTATATTTTGAATTTAATTCATCATCATCATCATTATAGCCCTTCACAAGTCCACTGCTGAACATAGGTTTGCTCCAAGGAATGCCACAAAGCACGGTCCTAATCCACCTGCATCCATCTACTTCCTGCATATTTTACCAGGTCGTCACTCCATCTAGTGGGTGCACTTCGCCACAGGTACGAAGTTGCCACTCGAGAACCTATTTTTCCCATCAGTGAGTCAGTTTTTTAAGCTATGTGGCCAACCCATTGCCACTTCAGCTTATTAATCCACTGCTCTATTCTACTGCGGATTTCCTCATTTCTAAGTTTATTATGCGAGAAACCCTGAGCATAGCCCTCTCCATAGCCAGCTGAGCAACCTTGAGTTTCCTTATATGGCTAGCAGTGAAGGACCATGTCTCAGATCCATAAGTCATCATTAGCAACACGCACTGCTTGTACTCTCTTTCAAGTTTTGAGGTATACCTGACGAGAAGATGTGTCATAATTTCCCGAATGCTGCTCAGCCGAGTTGAATCCGTCGATTGACCTCTCGGCCGAAGTTGGACTTACCTAGTCGAACTATTTGTCCCAGGTAATCAATCATATACTCATCAACAACTATAAACTCAACTGCTCGTGCTCCCAACGACTATCTGCATAGGTGTGACATGGACATTTCACATGACTTGTTTATTCCATGTTCATCTTAAGACCTCTCTGTTGGGAGGCACTATTAAGGTTGTTGAGCATATTGCTTTGGTCCTTCAGCGATTCTGCCATAAGGACTATATCGTCGGCCAATCGAAGGTGATTACTGTACTCGTGATTTTTGTTATTACATATACTGTATACTTTCCAGTCCAGTAGCTTGAAAACATTTTCCAATGCTGAGGTGAAGAGTTTCGGGGATATAAATCACCCTGTCTTAGATCTCTCTGCAGTTATGACTTTGGATTTGATAATTATTTCAAAAATATGTTATTGTCCATATTGTCAGGGGTCAAAAAAATTTTCTCACAACTAGGGAAAAAGCAGGAAGGCAGTTTATTTAATCATATTGTAAATACATTTCATGCAATTTTTTTTAAGTTTGTTTAACCCTTAAGGTACCGTGGACATGTTAACATGTCCACGTTTTGTGACCGCTGAGTACCGAGGATATGTATACATGTCCGCATTACGTGCTGCTATTTTCGTCATTAATTGATATAAAAATACAGTATATTTTCGATTGAACACTATTTCATTCGATTGTGAACGAATTAAAGAATATTCTGAAGAATTATATTCACTCGGTTACATAGACAAAATCAAATATAACAGCCATTCGCCTTTGCATACCGGTACGGTTAGTTGCGTAATCGTTGAAGTTTTGTGATTGTGATTTTAGTTGGATTTTCTTTCAAAAAAACTGTAAGTAATGTTATTTATCTTTACTACGTAATGTTTTTGAATGATTTAAGTTACAACAACAGTAACTTTTTATGTTTCAATTGATAAAAAAGTAGAAATATAAAACCTCTACGCGAACAATTCATAACGGTCAAGATTTCTAATAAGATTCTAATAAAATAATAATAGTATATTTCTTATTGGAATACCACAGTAAATACTTTGACTAGGAATTGCTAAATGTTATATCTATATGATTGTATAAGAAAAATAAAGGAAGACGATATAAAATATATACACAAAAAGTAAATAGTAAAGTAAAAAGTAAGTGTAAACTCATTTTCAAAGCAAGCGCTAACTGTCTATTGTCGAATTTTTAGCAAATGTTTGCAAGTGAAAAAGTAGAATTATTATAATTATTACATGCATAATTTCGGTTCATTTAGGAAGAATATATTGTATTGATTGTAAGGACATAAAAATAAAATAAAAACTTACGATGTTTCATTCATAAAATAAAATTTATCGTCAGTAAGTACACTTTATCAAGATCGGTTAGAAACAAAGAGCTGTACAAAGTAAAATAAACATTTATATGTTATGGTTATTGTTTCTACTTATCAAAAATCTTATCTGCTTCAAATAACTGTAACTATAACCTCTTTAAACATAAACGAAAGGTCGTGAGAAACATAAGTGTTTATAACAAGTGCCGCCAGCTGAGGTGACGACAGAGGCCCCGGTACAAAGCTCTGTTTTTTGTTATGGCGGGCGCGGCAAGGGAAAGGTTAAGATAACAAAATTTAAAATAATCAAATCAAATGTCAATAACATTAACTATCTCCAACAATACTCTTGTAGTACCTATTTAAGTCGTAGCACTTGTTTAAATTTTATTAAATTAGATTTTACAGTATATTCTTTCAGTAGTTCACCTGTTGGTAAGTCACTGTTGCAGTCCACTGACAACTACACCCAACATCAAATAAAAGAGGCTACAAATGCGTTATAAACTGAGGACTGCGATGGAATGTTTCACAGCTAGTATTTATTCTGGCTCTTGTAGAACACATGAGTATAACCACTACTATTTGGCAGTAGAAATAGGTAAGAACGATGATACCTATCTAGATGGACTATAGTATAGTATAGTTGAACACATTAGCACAGCTTAGATGCTCAACTAAGATTAAATATATAAATAGAGATTCTGTAAAGGCATACCTGGTCCAAGTTGAAGCGCACAAACGCCTCATACTGCTCGGCCAGCTTGTTGCTTAGCGCCGACTCGTACTCCGCGCGCAGCGCTGCCTCCTGTTCGCGAAGCATCCTCTCACAAATCATGCGCACCTGCCGATGTAAAGTGTTGTGCACATTATATTATGTAAAAACTAAAAATACAAACTTAGGAGGATATCCAGTCGGTGTTTAATCCATACAACATGTTCCTGTTTTCCTCCTAGATGACACTTGACCAAATAATATTTTATGATACAATCTTTATCTATGTTTCTTGTATTGTTCTTGTCTTCTTTTTTTTTTTTAAATTAATTATATCGAAATAAGAAACCATATAAAATTACAAACTACCCAGATATACCAACGTTACTAAACATCCAGCAAACAAATTTAATACACATAAAAAATCTAAACAAGCATGTTTCTACTGCAAAAATGAGACAGTTACCTTGGCTCCTTTTTTGAAAGATGTCATTGAGAGTTTGAATGCCTTCAGTCGTTCATCATTTCCTAAAAAAATGGTCTCCAGATCTCTACACTCATCATAAGAAACACGGCAGCATTAAGCTGCTATTTTATGCTGGTATATTCTGTGAGAGTGTGGTCGTTCCCCGATCAAACTAACCATTTGTGCTAAAAAAATATAGCCGCTGCATGACTCTACTGTGTACACACATACAAAGGCTGTTTTTGTCATATATGGACTGGTGTTACAAAATGCTATCTTTGGACTCAGTGGAAAGGCGTGCTAAGAGGCTATTGTTGGCTGATTTAAGCCAATCTTATCAGTTTTGAGAAAATAGCTGGCCTTTGGTGTTCTACAGAATACATTAGGGGATATGCAGGAATCACATAACTTGATTCTTCTCTCTCTTCCTTCCATCATCAGACAACTAGATGCTTGATCAGTCTCCTACCATTTGTTGTCGACATACTCATTGAACCAAGTCTTGTTTCTTCTTTGCCATACCACAAAGGAGTGGAACCATTCCTAGAAAAATGATCTATCCCTCCAATTGTATTTTATCAGCAGCTTTAACTCTTACCATTGGGTGGGATAGTAGTCAAGCACTGGCTTGTAATAATAAAAATAAAATCGGACATAAATAAGACAAACATTTTTATATTAATGGAATAAATATTATAGTTTAAGAGTTTGTACTTAAAATAGGATATAAGCGTTTTTGTTGTGTAATAAAGATTATAGTTTAGAGTTACACATAAAAAAGGATATAAGCATTTTATGTTAAGAAAATAATAGTGTAGAGCTTATATTTGTATAAAAGAATTAGTTGGTCACTTTGTATAATAGAACTAGCTTAAGGTAAACAATGTAACGTGACTCAGCATCGCCACTTGCTCTGTCGCGCCTCGCGCTGATTGGTCGACGCCGTTGTACGGTACGTATACCGTATCAATTGACCCAGCCGAGGTAGTATAAAAGAGGGGCGATTTTCGTCGTTCGATACCCCCCCAACAAGCTTTCGGCTGACCTGAACTGCCTCCTGGCGGCTCAGGCTGAGCCTACATAACACATCCCTTAATCTGCCTTAGTAAGGCACTCTTCTAAGCGGCTTTTCGCCGCTTGCGCCCTCCTTTCTGCCAAGGAGGGTCGCGTTCGTATACGGCTTAGAGATCTTTAGTCAGATCGTTAAGCCAATTCCTAAAAGGTTGAGTTTAGTGGGTAAAAGTCTCCACATAACCACGCAGCCGGCTGCGTGGTATGCTATGAGCATTCTCAACCTCCCTCCCCCGCTTTCCGGAGGGTTGCCCATATTTGCTTCGGGCGCAAAAAAAAAAAAGTCGTTCGACACAGTCGGCGGCCAGCTACCTCAAGGAAAACATCGAATATAGAAGAAAGAAAATATCTTAGTGGTTTTATTCTCCACCAACCCAGCACACAATTGTGCCTGTAGGGCACAGATTTCCAGAGCCACAGATTACAGATGTATTTTCCGAACCAGTTGTAAATTAAAAACTGGCTTTCTATAAATATTATGCAATAATGCACATTGGTAAAAAAAAATGTTCTATGCTATTCTATTTATCCAATTACAATGTGGGTGTCTTCAAGGTAAGTGATAAAGCTTTTGTTAAGCTAATCCTGTATGATTTACCTTCTTTGTCTGTATCGTCACTTACGTCTGGTGGAACATTAGTCATGCACAGGCTTATAATTATTGGAATAAATAAAGATACAAACATATCACTATTCCTTTCTTTCCAATACTAAGCTCTTGAAACATTTCCTCACACTCCAACTGGGTACAAAGGTTGGTGAGCAGAGTGCTGAGCAGACAGCATTGCACTGGAAATGCTACATCCTATTATCAGTTTTTTTAAGATTTAAATTTGGTATTTTACATTGAATATACTGCCTTTTGGACTAGGTTAAAGTCAGATACTGCTCTAATGCATTTGGGCAACTATCACATAATGTTTTCAAATTATCTTAATTTTTTAGATATGCAGGTGATATGATTAGTTATAATGAGATCGACATGTACAAAAACAAAAATCCCTAAATAGAGAAAAAAAAACCTAAATATTTTCTTTAGACACCTTAAAATCAGCATATAAAAACGTATAGTTAACCTATTTATACATTTTATGCAAATGTATATTTACAACGTCTACAAAACATGAGTGACCTGTTTGAAGGTGAAGAGCGCACGGTTGTGCACCTTGTGGGCAGCGTGCGTAGTGTGCGCGGTGCGGTGCGGCGGCGACGCGTCGCCTTCGCTGCCACTGGACGACGAGCACGACGCGGCACCCGCCGCCAACCGCAACTGACGCCGCCGCTGCAACCGCTTTATCTCGTCGCAGATCTCCTGCGCCATGCGCTCTGCACATACCACACATTCACGCTTAATGCAAGCCCATCAACTTTTATTAAGTGTTACACACCACACTGATTGCTTCAATCGTACAAGCAACACCATTTCATCATAAATTAAAAAAACAGTATTGCCAAATCTCATCAATGTAGTTAATGATAAAAACATTTTTGAATTACAGTAATTTAAATCAGTTATATTATTTAGTAGTAGTAGTAATAATATTTAAATGTATAATTTATATGTATAATGTAACTTCATCTTTGATATAGGATTGGCATTGTACTTCATTTCACTTATATTTTGTCATAGAAATCAAAATAAGAGTAAAACAAGTACACATGTCAATCTTATAATAAATGTGTAATTCTTGAAGCACAATAAATTGCAGATTTTCAAATGTTCATGAAATTAAAATAAGTACAATTTACACATGAAATTAACTGTTATGTTTCTATCACGGCACACAACTATTAAGGTATATATAAAACTATATTTTCAATCCCCCTCCCCCATCAACATGGTAGCGAAATTAAATGCAAGACTATCCCAGGAGGGTACCAGCACCCCTGAAGAATCGCTGAGCATCCACGACCAAGCTACTCCACTCCTGAGCTTGGGTGCTCAGGCTGCCCCGAGTATTCTGGAGGGGGGGGGGGGAGATAAAACCTACTACCTGCTCGGGGCAAACGGAGCAATAAGTCAAAGGCACCCCCTGCCACACTTCCGTGAATTTTGCAACATTAGGGGAAAACCTCAACACAGTCCACTACCATCTGGATACGGCAAAGCTGGCCTTGCTCTTTCTAACCGAGACAGGTGTCCTCTCCGGGTGATACTTCATATCTCACCTTTCGTGGGTACAAACTAGAACACTCCTCTGTGCCCCGGGCTGGAGTTCGCGTGTACGTCAGAGAGGACATCTGATTTCGACAACTCGGCAGCCTTGAAGGTACGGGCCTGTCCATCTAATGGCTGCGTGTAGACAGCGATGTCCATCCCCGCGTCTACGGGTGCCTCTATAGGTCCCATAGCGGTAATGTCGAAACAGACCGACTCATCAACCACGTCCAGATGGCTACAGACTCTGTGCTACAACAGATCCCACCCACAGAGATCGTGATACTTGGTGATTTTAACGCCCATAATGCTGAATGGCTTAGTTCTCGTTTAACCGATCATGCGGGTAGATCTGTCTATGACTTCGCTTTGGTATATGGTCTCACACAATCGGTTACCTTGCCTACGCAGATCCCAGATGTGGAAGACCATGAACTACCCTGTGGACCTCTCATCCAGATGGATATCAGGTCTTCGTCGATGCCCCTTTTGGCTCCTCTGACCATTGTCTGATCCAGAGTACGGTGCCACTCACGCTCTCATCGCGGTTACGTACTGCAGGTTGCCGACGTGTTTGACATTATAGGTTAGCCGATTGAGTCGGGATGCAATCTTTTTTTGCATCCTACTCTTGTAGGCGGGTTTGCTTCTCGCCGGATGATCCCAGCGTTGTTGCTGATTCTGTCGCTGATGTGGTGTTACAGGGAATGGAACTAGTTAATCCATCATCTGTGGTAACCATCAGAGGCAGAACCCAGCCTTGTTGAACACACCTGCAGTTGTTGGTTCAGCTGCATATGGAATACTGTTCCCATTTCTGGGCCGAGGCTTCCCAGCTCCTTCCATTTGATCACATCCAGCGGAGAGCTGTTCGAATCGTCGGCGACCAAGCTCTTTCCAATAGGCTTGACTCACTGGCACTGCGAAGAGATGTTGCATCTCTTTTGCGTATTTTATCGCATCTACCAAAATTTCACCATCACACATGGCGAAAAATCTCGCCACCGTGTGATTTAAAAGAACTTTTCTTTCTCGCACAACTTCCTTGTGGAATTGACTACTACCAAAGATTTTTTCGGACCAATACTTAGGAACCTTCAAGAAAACCGGTAAGAAACTTCAAGAAGGCCGGCAATGCATTTGCAATTCTCCTGGTGTTTCAGTGTTCATGGGCAGCGGTAATCATTTACCATCAGGTGAGCTGTATGCTCATTTGCCCCCTCTTATAAAAAAAAATTTTAACTTACATCTATTTGTATGTACAGTTCGGGACAAAAACCTCCGTTGGTAGGAGGTAAATTCTTTGCAAGTATATCTTCTGGCAGTTTAATAGTTCTTAACAAAAAAGAATATAAAAAATGTTACTCTTTTTTCAAACCTAGTTTCTTTTGTTAATTATAGTTGAGCTAGTTAAATATATTATTTTCATTTTATGCAGTATATTTCGCATCTTATCCAACAATAACTTGCAACATTATTAAATCAACTGAAAGGAAATTACCATCATTATTTATGTTGTGCTGTGAAATATGGTTAAGTCTAGTGATTTTCTCCAGCCTATCAAAGTCCACAGCTGAACATAGGCACAATATGTGGGGACATATTACCTCATAGGGGGATTTTTGTTGTAATTGTCACTCTTGACAGACAGGATGGCAACTGCAGTTTTTATTATTTGGAGTTGTTGTCAGGAAGACACTGCTGCCTATCACCTGTTTCATTTCCCTGTTTCCGCTTACGACACCCACGGGATCACATAGAGTAATGTCAGCGCGTTACTCATTGGCCATGGCCTAAATATATGAGCGATTGTCCGTGCTCCTCTGTGCTCACTTACGTGCGAACTATACTGAATTCTCTTACACCGCAACTACACAAGCTTAGTTATACTATAAGTAAGGTAAAATTAAAGCAACAGGCTGTTACTTTACCTATGTAATTTCTTACTATTGGACACAGGTCCCCCACATTTCTGAGGGTTTTAGGATAAGGAAAATTTTATTTTTACCTTAGTGGTAAAAATAAAATTTTCTATATATGCACTTAAAATTAATTTTATTGATACCACTGGAGATTGAACTGGAAATTGTTCAAATACCATGAAATTGTAAGGCAAGTGTTACCAAGTTTCTTTTGCTAACAAGGATCTAACTCAGATGATATTATGAATATTACTTTAGCTATTATGAAAAAGTTTTTTTTTTAATAGGATTAGGGTGACAAACAAGCACGCAGGCCATCTGATGGTAAGTGGTTGCTGTAGATCATAGACACCTACATTTATCCTTGATTAAGAATCAAAATGTCTGCTGCGTTGTCACCCGAGAGGACTAAGATGGAATGCCTCTTTTTCAGTAAAACGGGTAGTTGTAGTAATATATAAAAGTACAATGAAAATGGTCATCCTCAGTTTTAAATGAAATATTCAATTTATTAACATTTTTCAACTATTAAATATCTAATTTAAAAATAAAACTTTCAACAACTTTTTTTAGTATTTTTTAAAAATACGAAAATTTCAATTAAACTAATTGCACTCATGATTTTTTATTCAAATAACCAGTTCAGCTTTTTCTATTATGTCGGTAAGATCAAAAAATATTCTTCATATTTCATCAGTATGCAATTTGTATCTAAATATAAATTCCAAAACACATGATTTAAAAAAAAAACGAGTAAAGCTCCGTCATCCAGGTACTTACATTATTAAAGAACCTACAGAAAATTATATTTCTTTTTATGATTTTCCCCAAACAATTACAACATTTTTGGCCTGTATAATTTTACATAATTCAACATAACTCAGAACAAAAACAACATTTATAAAATCAAAAATAATTATCAGTTTCATCATGTTCTCCTTTGTCTGAACAAAGGAAAACTAACTTTGCATTCAATTAATAATTACTACTCTTCAGAGTGACCTTTCATGGTTTATGAAGAACATCTTCATTTTTTCTGGATTGGTGAATTTAATTTCTAATATGAAATTAATGGACTTGTAACATTTATATAATTGTGAACAATTAGGAAAAAGCATGCAACAGTTATAACACACAGGCGCATTCTCTATTCCCTATCTGTCATACATAGTCCAATGCAACCGTAAGTCAACATAAAAAATGTCTGCATGCTTTCTGAGGCATGAGAAAACAATCAGCCAAACTTCCTAACTCCAAGTTACTACTGAGAATATATTGATAGAAAACTCAATAACTGATTTTAGCCTGACCCAAAACAATTGGCTAAAATCTGATGGCACCTCAACCTACTGTTGCTGATACTACTTGTCCTAACAGCATCAAATAAATGCTCTGATCTAGATAAGCTAGCGCACTAAAAACTTGTTTAGATGTAAAAAAAAAACGATTTGTCCTAAAATTGATTGGCAATAAATCTTTTGCAAATTTATAATTTTTTTTTAATACAAGTTACTACTGGTTTAAAGTTATTTCAATTGTAAAGTTAATAGTAATAACAATTGTATTAGTCATGGTACAAAAGAAAGGGCTTTGAATAAAAGAATTGAAACATTTATGCGAAAAAATTATCAATTTTACAGAACAATGAAGGCGACTTTTTCGTAATAATTATGAGCTAGAGCTATCTGGTAAACTTGTCAATTTATTATAATGCAGTGTTTATTCTGTAGTTAATATCTAAGTATTTTAAATACGTAACAAAAGTACGCGTTACAAAAATGAGGGCAAGTAAGTGCAGTGTCAACAAATTATTAGTGGACTCATGAAATCAATCTTCTGCTTCTACCACTAGTATATTATTACATGCATTTCGTTACATGGCCTTAGGTCTTTTCCAGGTATCGAAAACCGCCTATTTTCACAATTACAGTTTATTTTAGAATAGGTATTTTTTGCCTTTGATTGGCCTTTGTCATTTTTTTCTGAAATAGAAAAAAGCAACAAAGCCAATACGCCCAACGGTCATAATGCATTTTCCATCTCACTCTAACACGATAAAAATATACTTGATATGACAAAAAACAATGGCGATAAAATAATACAGCTGGCGTAATGTCGTATATTTAACCTCTGTTCTCTAATAAAATATTTTTTTACTTCACTTTAACATCTTTTTGCAATATATATTTGAATTATAGAAAAATAAACAAACCTGGGGTCAATTTTGCAGGAGCACTAACGGTTTCTCCAAATGTCGAAGGCTTATTTTCATTTAACTTAATTCCAGGACTGGTACTGGATGATGTCGCAAAAGGTGCACATCTTCGTCTTTTTGCTGGCAACTGCGCCATGGACTCCCAGTCCAAATTCCTTTTAAGTGTAGCGCACGCCATTTTCTTTTAACGCCCAACTAATGTCTTCTACCTACTCGATTTCACTGAGATAATTTTTGTCACAAACCAGACAAAATTAAAAATATTATTAAAACTAGACTAAAATAAAAACTAAAATGCGTATACTAAATTAAATTACGTATTATTATCAACGATTCCTCAAAATATTTTTGATTTATGTATAGCTAAATTCTCTTTCTTCCAAATCCGAAACTCGACTTTTCAATTTTGACACTGACAGTTTTATTTTTACTTTTTACAAAATGTACAAAACATTGAACCAATACTACCAACTGAACCATAGATCTCGCCAACCGTTGCCAACTTAATAGCAATTTTATATTACCCTGGACGTTAGAGAAAAGGAGAACGATCGCTGTAGAAAATAGTGTCCCAGAAATAATAATAATACTAATGTCCTCCAGACCGAATTTCGGCTACAGCGGCCTGCCTCAACGGAGGCTTGCCATCGGCGCAGGACAGGATTATAGTGCCCAAGTGTATGCGCAAGCACAGGTGCACTCTCTATTACCTCGCTCTCGTAATCCGATGGGACGGTAAACCGACACGACCGGGAGAGAGATCAGGCGCAGGACCAACGGCTTTACGTGCTTTCCGAGGCACGGGGGTGAGACACCGCCAACTTCCTGACTCCGGGCAGCTACTGAGAGTTTCTTAACAGAAAAACTCAATAATTGATTTTTTGGCCCGACTCGGGATTCGAACTCAGGACCTCATGATCAGCAGTCGCACTACTACAACCACTAGACCAACGAGGTAGTCGTCCCAGAAATATGGACAAAAAATTAAATATTATTAATATAATTTATTCATTATTATTATTTTTTAATAACATTTCACTATTTTAAAATGTTTTTTTTTCTGAGTCAATTTTCGTTTAGGGCGGGATTTGGCAGGTTAGCAAAGAAAACTACTTATTGTTAAAACGTGACATTTATTAAGGTATTGTTACGAGCTTGAGGTTCGTGACCTTCCTTCATCCATCCCAGAATCGGCTTGATGTCCGGATCTTCCTGCTGTGCATGTCGTAGGCTGTCCTTTCACCCGTTGCTGAGGTGGTCTGTCCTGAGCATCCTCACGGATACCACTTCCTTACTCTCTTGCCTACTACAATGGTTGCAATCTTCAGGACAAGGTCTTCTTGTCAATGCATCTGCGTTGCCGTGAGATTTCCCGCTGCAGTGTCTGATAGTAAAGTCGTATTCCTGCTGCTGCTGGGCGGTGCTGTTAGCCGCACTTCCTTTCTGAGACCGTTCACCTTCCCTTCCTAGGGTGTGCTTAGGGCAGCTGGACCGAAGATGGCCCCTTTCCCCACAGCCATAGCACCTAGGGCTGTATCTTTTATTGTGGTCGCGAACCGTAACTGCTGTAACCTCCCTAGCGTGAGGTGAACGATGATCCTGTCGCCGCCAGGCAGTGCCGTTAGCTGTACTACCCTCTCGATATCGTTCACTTTCCCTTTTTAGGGTTCGCTTAGGGCAGCTGGATCGAAGATGGCCCTTTTCCCCACAGCCATAGCACCTTGGGCTGTATCCTTTGTTGCGGTCCTTAACTGTAGCTGCTGCAACCTCCCTGACGCGATGGGAACGATGATCCTGCCGCACGGCTTCCACTTCCAGTGCATGGGCCAAGGCGTCCTTAAGCGTCTCGTGGTGCCCGAGCATCACAGCAGCTCTGACTTCCAGGTCGCGGATGCCGTCGATGAATGTCTGCACCAGGTTCCCTTCAATGAGCGCAGGTACAGACCGGTATGCTTTTCGCACCAGCTTCTCCACTTCTAGAGCCCACTGCTGCAGGTTTTCGTTGATGCGCTGCACACGATCTTTAAGCTGCGCACGAAAGACGTGTTCCAGGTGAGCGTCGCCATATCTCGCCTCCAATGCCTCAAAGAGTTGCTCATAAGTCACTTCCTCACCGAGAGCTTCCAGAACTGTTAAGGCCTGGTCGCGCAGGCCTAGTGTGAGAGCAGTCATGGCCTGACTTTTATTCCAGCCGTTCGCCTTCATTACAGCCTCGAACTGGATTTTGTAGGCTGACCAGGAAGAAGTCCCGTCGAATGGTGGCACCTTGAACCCACGTAGCGAAGGTGTAGTAGCTACTACGGGAGCTGTAGTTCCCTCCCCAAGTTTGAGTTCGTCAAGTGATTTCCTCATGTCAGCCATTACGTTGTCAACCCGATTGTTCACTTGGTCAATTCGGGTTTCAGCTTCCGACAGGGGGTTTTCATGTTGAGCAACCTTATCCTTCACCTCCCTTATCGCTTTCCCGAAGGTAGCGTGAAGGTCCTTCATGAGAAGTATCTGTTCCTCCTGTCGGCGGGCCTGTTCTGCCTGTCCGCCCCGCAGCTGCTCTTCCAACCGACGGACCTGTTCCTCCTGTCGGCGAGCCTGTTCCGCCTGCTGATCTGCTAACCGACGGGCCTGTTCATCCTGTCCGCTCTGCAGCTGCTCTTTCAACTGACGGACCTGTTCCTCCTGTCGGCGAGCCTGTTCTGCCTGTCCGCCCCGCAGTTGCTCTTCCAACCGATGGACCTGTTCCTCCTGTCGGCGAGCCTGTTCCTGCAGCATCACCATCAGGGCGCCTAAATCAGGTGCTGCAGATGCAGGAGCTACTGACGAACCGGCCTCCGTTGCCGGCGGCTGGCCCTCCGACGTCTGCGGCGTTGCACCACCAATTCTTCTCTGGTCCGTCTCATGCTGGCGTTGACTGCGGGTACGAACACCCTCCGTTTCCTCCTTAGGTAAAATCGGCATGATTTTATCCCACTTCTGACACCAATTGTTACGAGCTTGAGGTTCGTGACAATAAAAATTGCCGATAAAATTACCTAAATTAACACTTTAATTTACTTTACACAAATTAAAACTAAAAACACTAATAATTAAACACACTAATTCACTTAATTCCGCTCCGAAGCTTCGCTTGTGTCACCGAGTTCAACTCTCCCCGATCGCATCTTGCAGCGCCTATTTATATAATTAGCAAAGAAGCGTCCCGAACATTCAAGTAAATGCGCGCCAGGCAACGAGTATTCGAGTGTAGATTTTCCAGAAACTTAGTTCTTCGGGTGGCGCTGTCGGTCGAGTGATTTGTGATGTCATTTTCTCAATGCTCCCCTCGCTCTCGTTCCTGACACTAGATGGCGTTAGTGTATCGTCGACTTGAGAGCTTAACAGTATTATTTTAATACAAACTACATGTTTTTTTTTATTTTACTCAAACTAAATGATAGCACATTCAGTCACAAACACACAAAGGAATTTTAAACAAAGGCTCAGGTAAACATTCCTGCTTTGCGCTCCATTTTGTTACCGGGCCGCACACCGCGCCCCGCGCCACACCGACCGCGTCCATTTTTTACCTCGCTCGGTCCCGCCAGTCGTTCACTGCTTTCCCGCGTGCAACCACTACTCACGTTTACGTTTATTTGGATCTCTTATTTGACTAGCTTCGCTTTGTTTCCCGGATTCTTGATTTGCCTTACGATTGACCTGTGCTTGTTTTATTGACCTTGAGTTGCTTAGTGATTTGGATTACTTTCAGCAATGAGTTATTCTCTCAGTCAATACGCAGAGATTCACTATTTCTACGGCGTTGCCCAAGGAAACGGCGATGAAGCGACAGTAGCCTAATGGCAGGGAGCGGATCGCGAACTCAAAAAGGTCGTGGGTTCGCATCCGCCATTCGACTACTGGCGTGAACCACTCGGTAACACAAGCAAATTTAAGCTTACCACGAGTGGTTAAGGAGAATATTAGTAATGTTTATAGCATTGTTAATATTCTTTAAAAAAAAAATATTACATTAAAGGGGGGAAACGGCGCATTAGCGGCACGGCTTTATCGAGAGCAACTGGAGCGGTGAGGAGAAGTGTTAGAGCATTACCCGGGCTACACGGTTTTTAATAACACCCACGAAACCCTGATGGCTGGACGCGTTCCTGGGCGTAATCAACGTCGCGAGGGACTACCCAGAAGGACTGGAATCCCAAGGACTTCAGTTTTAAGAATACTGAAATCAGGTGAGTGCATTTTATTATTTTGTAGACCTCTTTATTCAAAATCCCAACACGTTGCTGCGCTGCCATTTCAAATCACACTCATTTAATTTACTGTGAATTGTCGATGTCTAATGTGTTGTGTGTGCGTGTAAAAGAGAGAGATGTAGAGACCCTTAAACAAGCGCTCGTAATTGAAAAATAGGCGCTAGGACGCCACTCTAGCGAATCCCAACTTTTAGTTTCACGTTCACGTGCTCTATCGGTACGTACCTCTAGTATTGTGTACAATGACAACCTACAATAAAAATACTAATAATTTTTTTCCAGAGAGATATCACGCGTTTCATATTCAGCGTGTTCAACAACTTAACGACGCAGACTATCCAAGGCGTGTTGCTTTCTGCCAAATAATGCTGGAAAGATCTGCGGAAGACCCGGATTTTTTTAAGAAGATACTCTGGACGGATGAATCCCGGTTTGAAAGGACTGGCGTCTTTAACATTCACAATTATCATAGCTGGGCGATTGAAAACACAAAAAAAGAAAAAGAGGCAGTCAAATTTTCAGAACAGATTTAGTATCAACATGTGGTCAGGAGTCATAAATGGAATCCCTTTGAATTGTCGGCTAGGTTGAACGGGTCCCAGTACCTGAACTGTCTACAAAATAACTGAAATGGTTTATTGTTTGAAGTTAATTTACAAACGAGGAGGGATATGATATTTCAAAATGACGGTGCTGCTTGCCATTTTGTAAGACAAGTGAGGGAGCACCTTAACAGAACTTTCCCAGGAAGGTGGATTTGGCGTGCAGGGCCAATCGAATGGCCTGCACGCTCACCAGATTTAAATCCTATAGATTTTTTTTATTTGGGGATTCTACAAAGAGATGGTGTATGCTAGAGAAATTAATTCGGAAAATGAATTAAGGGAAAAATTGAGACAATGCGCAGAAAAAATCAAAGAAAATGCGAATGCTT